TATTTTACAGTATACAATTAAATGCCCATTTTGCGAGCAAGTCTTAAAACGCATCGAATCCAGGACAAACTCTCCAAATACCCTCAAAACTATCCCAGAATACACCACGCTACCCCATTGGTGTATATGTTTTAAACAAAAAGTTACGTTACAGACCTCATTTCGGGGGCGATAAGAAAAATTCGTACCGTTTTGTGTTCTTTGGTATCTTACCAACCATTGCCCTTCTTGGTGTCCTTATCGCCCCTCATTTATGCCGCAAATATTCATGATGAAAAAAAGGCGTTATCTAGTTATCTTTTTCATAAGTGGCGTAATCTAATTATCTGTTCAAGTTATACTTACATGCAAATAAGTTGAGAAACTCAAAACACACAGGATGAAACTGGCGCCCATTGTATTCGACATCCTGATATTATAGTATCCAAACCGCAGCTCAAGCAAAGTAAAGCAAGTAATTTCTCAATAATCAGCTTGTTAATGTGCTTGTCTCCTACCATTTTCGCCAAAAAATGTTCATGTTGACCTGAAGTGTATGAGTATTGCGTAAGCCAGAGTTCCCGGATGTATCAATTGTGGTTCAGCATGGGGAAAATGATATTAATATCACTTTACAAACATGCGCCGCGCAACTCGTACAAGCGAAATTATGTAAAAAGTCGGCTAGTTATGTATTCGTTGCAGCATGATGTATCGGAAAATAGCACTTCGTTCTGGAGGTTAGTACTCCTTTAAACACTCGGTTAGTTAATTTTGCAGAAAACAATAGTCTTTTCAAACCCCACCAAGCAGGTTTTAGAAAAAAAAAGTCAGAACGACAGATAACCTATTTGTTTTAAGTACCTTAGTCAGTAAGTATATTAGTAAAAACTCTAGACTTTTTGCATGCTTTGATTTTTAGCAAGGCTTTTGATTCGATCTGGAGAAACGGTTTGCTCTTGAACCAGTTAGGTATAGGGGGTACTTTTCTACAAAGACATGTATTCAAAAACTACTAATCGTGTTAAATATAGCCACTGTCTAACAGAGCCCTTCGTTACAACTCGCGATCTAAGTCCTACTTTATTCAATTTATTTTTAAGTGGCATCACCTCTGTATTTAACAATGAGTTCCTTGTCTACTCTATGCAGACGACTTAGTCATTCTCTCTGAGTCCAAGCAAGGATTACAGTCTTCATCAGATAGACTAGAAAGTTACTGTCATATCTGGAAACTAAATGTGAACCTTAGGAAAACAAAAATTATTGTTTTCACTAAGGGGGGTCGTCTTCCAAAAGAATTATTTTTCACTTTATGGATAATTTAATTGAAATTATCACCAACCAAGACAAAGGACAGAGACACGCAGCGGAACCAGAGACGTCCGCTCACAAGGCCCCGAGCTGTACTCTCCAAGCAGAGGTTTGGGTTTTGGGGGTATTTTTAACGTGTTTTTAGGCTTTTTTTATCGGGGTTTCTCTTTTGCACTGAA